CAATCCCCAGCACAAAATAAATCAGGCGTGGTGGCACATGCCTATAATTTCAGCACTCAAAAGGTGAAAGCAGAAGGATCAGAGTCATCCTTAGCAACTTAGCAAGACTGAGACCATTCTGAACTACGTAAGACCCTGTCTTGCATGGGAATAAAGCTGGCACCAGTCTGGAAGCTTGATCTATGCTGGCTAGCTTTCATAATGTCGGAAGGTGCTATGGATGGTATCTGGGTAATAATCAACAATCTTACTCAGCTGTGAGCCCTGCAAAGTATAACAATTATCCTGGTAAGATATGCCCATTGGTGCAATAGTGGCATGAATGTTAAGGGAGTAACTATTTTTTTTTAAATTGGGTATAAGACCTTCTCCACAAAATGGAACTCATACTTGATACCTTTAACTGGTAAAAATCCTGTGGTTGGCTAAGTCATATATATGCCCTAAGGAAGAACCTAACACTGCTATTCTGCTAAGTGGCCATAGTAATAAACTGCCTACTAAGTTTTTATCTTTACACCTGTAGAGTATTACTCTTCTCTCAGTCTCTATCAGAGAAGCTTCTTTTTCTAGTAGGTGGCAGCTAACACAAAATGCACAGTTGGTCAACATGCAGAGAATAAGAGACCATGAAAAGTTCAACTTTTTAACATCTCTGTATTCCCTACCCCCACCAAGGCTTAGGGACCATCACAGAAGAGAGACTGCAGAAAGATTGTAAGAATCAAAGGTAGTGGATAACTTCTGTAAAACAGGACTTTCTGTGACAGGGACACTGAACACATGAACTCATAGCAGCTGGGGCTACATGTACAAGATCCAGTCAGCCACAATTCCAGCACAGATGGGACAGGAGACCAAGATGTCCCATGCATAGCTGTAGAATTGGCAATGGATGACTATGGGGAGGGGTGTCAGTTTTCTCAGGGATGTGGTCCCTTAGCAGTTACCCATGCAGCAGATGGCCCTGCACCTATGCACATATAGGCAGCACTCAGAGAACTCTGTGGGTTTTTAAAAAGAGCACATGAGGGGCTGGAGAAGTGCCTCAGTGACTAAGACCACGGCTACTATAGCAGAGGACCTGGGTTTGGGTACCAGCACCTACATGGCAGCTCACAACCATCTGTAACTCCTTCCTACTCTAGGGAACCTGAAATACTTTACAGGTCTTTGTGGGCACAAGGCACACAAATGGTACACAGACATTCATGCAGACAAAACACCCATATACACACAAAATAAATTTCTTTTTAAAAAGAGTAAATAAAGTTAGAAGGAAAAAATGGTAGGGAGGATAAGGGAGAAATTGGAAGGTAAGAAATGGGGAATGGATTTGATTAAAACATATGCATGTATAAAATTCTTGAACAATTTTAAAAAAGGCCCCCATCTTAAAAAAGAAAGCAAGCTTCCCTGAGGACTAGCTTTCATGGTACCAGATGATTGACATGCAAGCTTTCAAAGGAGAGAAGCAACCAACAAAGAGTCCTACCCAGCTATGATGTCTATGAATTACAACAACCAGCAGTGGCACACACACCTTGGTGCTAACCAACAACTCTCTAATTAGACTCAAGATCTGATCAACAACAGAAATCAAGCCTGGTACTGGAAACCTAGTCTCTGTAGTCCTAGTGACATCATTAGTCTTGGAGGAGAACCTATAACTACCACTTTACTAAGTCAGCATAATCTGTAACTACATTCTAAACATTTGTCCTTATACCCGCAGACAAGTGTGGTCCTAGCTCCTCAACAAAACCTCTCTTTGCAATACACCAATCAATCAAAGCACAGAGTTTTGGAGCCCAGTCCCAATGGATATACCTACAAAACAACTTTTGAACCTAAGGCTCAGGGAACATTGAGAAAGAGGGTGTGCAAAGACTGCAAGAGCCAGAGAATCGCGTTTTCTATGAGCCCGTGTCTCCTGGTAAGGTCGGAAGCGATACGCATAAAGCCTCACCGCCATGACTGCATAAACATGAGCTCAACAGGACAGCAGGGCCGGCAACGACGTGCTGACGTGGGCGGGGGAAAGTCCACGAGGCCTCAGCCCCACACAGAGAACTACAGGCAACTAAGGAATGGCTGAGGGTGGGAGAAGTAGTCTTCCATACTGGTCGGGCTTGGAGAAACAAAGCTTTAAAGTGAAAGCAGAATAAACAAAGCACTAGCAAACCCCTTTCTGAGCAGCCTGAATGATACACAGGGCGGTCTAAATTAGTCCACTGAACACTTCTACATTCAATTACCTGTAAACAGGAATGGCCTTCAAAACATAATGATGTAATTCATACACTCCCCCTAGTCCCTATCCATCTCTATCTCAATCAAAACACAAGCATACTGAATCAAAATAAAGGAACTGAACAACAGTGGAAGCTTGGCAGAAATCGGAAATCACCTTAGCCTTAAATTATTTGCGTAATGCAAACAGCCCTTGGTATCCACTGTGACTCGGCACTTTCTGATCCTGAGACATGAAATGAGATGAAGGTATCGCCTCCTTCCTGGCATTAGCTAAATAACAGAGCTAAACTAAAGAAGCATCTGGAAAACTCAGAAAATGTCTGAAGTGCTACAACGCTCACACTGACACAGGCTTAACTCAGGCTCACGATGTCAGAAATGACAGCGTCTGCAGAGGATGCACAGAACTATTCTGAAACAACTTGGGGCCCTACAAAATTAGCAGATAAAATGCTGACTACAATTACAACTCAGAAATGAACAAAATATTATTAATAAATTAAAAAAAACTGTTTAGAGGCAAGTAATAAATAAACAAATAAGATAATAGCTGAGGGAATCCCCTGACACTGATCGCCAGAGCATCATGAGCTAAAACTGAATCAAGTGAAGATCTTTTCCCCTTACAACACAGCAAAAAAGAAAACAGATAAATTAAACTAAAAGTGAAACCAAGGGGAAAATCCTGCTCTATTCAAACTGTTCATGGACAGAAATAAGATAAAAATAGTAACTACACAAAGGTACTTCCTGCCGTATGCAGCAGAGACTGACTGGAGAGGGAAAGAAATGAGCAGACTCAGCAAGCAGGAGAAGGGGCGGAAGGGCATTAATCACATAAGGAGGAGTTGAGGAAGCATGAGAAGCCAGGGATGCCAGGGAATAAAGACGGCAGGCTCCGCCAGGAGGAAGGTGGGCCCAAACTGAAGTAAACACTTCACGCCACAGGTATGAGCTACCACACTGCGTTTCTGTGGTTCTGGGGACAGAACTTGGGACCTCAAAACGCAGATTTATTCACTAACTTATCACAAAGCCACAGCCTACTTGAGAAAATCAGAGCAGTCGCATCAAAAGTTGCCGTTGCTTTTCTACCCTACTCTTCTTTTCCAGAGACTGAACCCAGTTCTTTTTCAGAGAACTGTGCATTCTACACAGGCACTCTCCCAACTAAGCCTGTGGATACTATTGATAAATACCGTCTTACGCTAAGGAAATAACCTCAGAAAAGAAAAATGCTACAGCTCACTCTTAAAAGAAGGCAGAGCCAGGCTACCAGCTCATATAGTCTAACTTCACAGTTCTGTACTGTCTCATAGGAACCTCTCAAATTGGTGAAAATTAGAGACAGGCATTTCAGAGTATTACACGAGGGAAAATCCCTGGCCAACCTTTACATGATTAGTAATAGGACTTACGCTCTTGAATTACTGGGGGTTTTTGTAACAGCCAAAGCCGTCAGTGAATGTGGCTTCAACATCTGTCAGTAGGGTTGATCGGGTTGCTCTGAGGGTCTAGGTGGGTGTTCCCTTTCCTCTTCATTGCTCCGTGCCCTCCTGAAACTGGATATCTGTAGCTGGGATCCCCTGTTGGAAGCTCCAAATAAGTTCCCAGGGCCAGATAGATATCTCTATCCTATTAAAGAATTTAGACTGCATTTGAGACCAGCTTCGTGTTATGCAGCAGAGATGTCTACAAAGCAAGCATATTGGGGCCTCAAATAAGACGGGAAGTTTCCCCAGGTTATGAATCAAGGAAAATGTCACAGGTGACGGAGCATTTTGATGGGCAGAAGGAGCATCTTAATTTCTCATCAGACTCCTTAAGTGCTCAGGCTAAATTTCAGAAGTCCTTGGCATGGCAGGAAAGGCCTTCCACAACTAGGTCAGGAACCATTGACAAGAAAGGAACATTATTACCTCGATTGACAGACTTGGTCAAGCATTTGCTTACCAGCTCAGGTTTCAACAGACCAGGAGTGTTTTCCTCTCGGAAAAACAATTGGATGGCAAGCTGTACATCTTGGCACGTGGTAGAAGCACAGCATCTCTGAGCTAAAGCAAATGACAATCAACTGGCAGCCACTAAACGACGGCACGCGGCCATACTGCCTTTTGCCAACCAAACCTTTGTTGTTAGCTAATTTTAAAGCTGTCAAGTGAGACACTTTAACACATGATCCCGGTGGGACAGGGTGACCTTGGTTTATCTGGACAGCCCAAACCAATCGTAAAAGGGCGCTTTTGATACTGTGTGAAGAACTGTCCTTTCTTCTATGTGACAGCGTGGCTACGCCTTTAAAAATCCTTCTGCTAGATATGTACATATATACATGTATATGAGTATTTATGAATGAAATTGTTTCCCAACGCGGGGATGCTGAGGGGGAAGTTAAGGAGATGAAATGAATTGGTGAACGTGCTGATAAAATCACATCAGGGGTGTCACACGCTATTTGGGAGCCGCACACACTCACACCCACGTGCTGTTTTTCACCGCGGCCCCGGGAGTTACCACCCCAGGAGGATTCCAGGCCGGCTTCTTCCCTCGGGCCTCGGCTGCACCGAGAGTTCCTTCCGAACGCCGAGCAGAGCTCTCCTCCACGGAATCGCGGCTCACGCGTGGCCGAGCGGCGTCAGGAAATGGACCCCACCTGCCGCTCACCGGCGCCCACCGCCCAACCGCCCTGCCCGGCCCCGGGGGCGGGCCTGTGCGCCTACGTCATGGCGCTGCGCCGGGTCAAAGTTCAGCCCCGCCCGCGTCCCCTCGCCGTCTCCTCGGCCTGCGCCGCCGCCGCTCGTGGTCCGGGTCGCGCTCCTTCCGCTCCGCCGCCTGCTCGCGAGTGCTGCCCGGCAGGCCGCCATGGCAAACGTGGCCGACACGAAGCTGTACGACATCCTGGGCGTCCCTCCCGGCGCCAGCGAGAACGAGCTGAAGAAGGTACTGGAGCGAGCCGGCGGGCGGGCGGGGCGAGGGCGCGGGGCCTGCGCGGTCGGGGCGGCCTGAGCCGGGCTGAGGCGCGGTGGTGGCGGCGGGGCGCAGTCGGATCGGCTGACCTTGGGCCTCCGCCCGTCCGCCCTCTCTGCGCCAACGCGGCCCGCCAGCCCGGCGCCCCGGGCCACCCGGAAAAACAGGTCGGACCGCGGTGCCCGCGCCGACCGGCCGGCGAGGAGCTGACCGCCGGCGCCGGTGTGGGGCTGAGGGCCGCAGTCGCCGGCGCCGAAGCTCCTCCCTCCGCCTCGCTCGCCCGGCAGCCGGAGCGGCGTGGGTCTGTTTGGGAGCATTGTTCTGTGGGCAGGTGATCCAAATACCCGGTGGCAGCTTCGGGGATGAGTCGTGTGTCCCAGCCAAACACCTGAGTGTGCACTCACTAAAAATAAGACACATCGCATTGTTGTCCTTTGTAGCGGTCCAGAATCATCTCTGGACTTCAGAGCATTGAACGTCTTGATAAAGTCCCGCAGCATCTTCTCTGGCTGTCGGTACCGAATCTGAATTTGTAAACCTAGAAAAACGAGGCTGTCCCGTAAGCAGTGGGACTGGTGAAGCCCGATGTAAAATAGACTTCCTGTTACCCTACCGGAAATGGTAGGCTGTGTTATATAATTCATGAGTCTGTGTGAAGACTTCAATGGTGTATGCTCAAATGGCTTAATTGAGAGTATGTAGTTTCACTACCACCTAGGACCTCAATCAACCCACCATGTGCTAGCAAAACATCACCTAGGACCATCTGGGTTTTTTCTTCCTGTTAGAGGGCAGGCAAGAGCCAGCACAGGCAGGGGTGCTTCTACCCTGGCTTAATTTGTGTAAGTGCCTGGGTTTCTGTAAAATGTAATCGCTTAATGTGGAATTTGTTAGGTTATTGCGGTCTTGGTCTGGTTATGACCATTGGAGATATTTGAGAATAGTGAACAAACAAGGAATCATGTTCCAGCGTCTTTCTTTGTAGTTTTGTTTTATTTATATTTTTCTTCAGTATAATCTCTTTTTTCAACAGTAACTTATTTTGTCTTGGTACATTATTAGCAAGTAAGCAGTATTGAGGTGGAAAATATTAAATAGTTCTGACAACTAAGTGGCATTTTTTGGAAGACTAACGTTAGAACGTTGCGTTAAGTGAATTTCTTAAATTGTTGTCTGTGTATAACTTTTTAAAATCTCTTTTTGAAGGCATACAGAAAGTTAGCCAAAGAATACCATCCTGATAAGAATCCGAATGCTGGAGACAAAGTGAGTTCTTTGAAGTTTTATTCTTGGGATTTTAGTTTTACACTGAATTTAAAATAAATCACCCTCTCAGAAACAAGGAATGTAGTAGGGGAAAAATCCATTTATGCCTACAGAGCAAAACTTTTGTGTTATTATTTTAACTTATTTGAAAATGCCATAATGAAACCTGATGCCTATAATATTCTTTAGAAATAAGAAAAATTAGCCAGTGAAGATGGTGATGGTGGTAGCCCATGCTTTTAATCCCCGCACTCCGGATGCAGAGGCAGGTGGCTCTCTGAGTTCAAGGCCGTCCTGGTCAGAGCAAGTTCCAGGACAGCTAGGAGCTGTATAGAGAAACCCTGTCTCTGAGGGGATGGGGGAAGAGGGAGAGAGGTTCCAGCTATTGAGATAGCCCATGGCCTGAGCTTGATCACAGAAGGGAAGTTGTCTTTCCACCTCCACACATGCTCCAACACTCGCACAGTTCATATAGAATAATGATGATAACTTTTAGAAGAATATTTCAGTTTTATAGTGAGAATTATTAAGATTTTGAGCAATAAGTGATAAAGAGAACCAAAATGAAATCAAAGGTAACTTGAAGCTTTTTATTAGAATTAATGGATTCTGAGTTCCTGAAGTCTTTTTTTACATTCTTGTGCTTAAAAATCCAATTGTTTTCATTCTTACTTTTCCCTTATAGTTTAAAGAAATAAGTTTTGCATATGAAGTATTGTCAAATCCAGAGAAGCGAGAGCTCTATGACAGATATGGAGAACAAGGTCTGCGGGAAGGTAGCGGCGGAGGCGGTGGCATGGATGATATTTTCTCACATATTTTTGGTGGAGGATTGTTTGGCTTCATGGGTAATCAGAGTAGAAGTCGAAATGGCAGGAGAAGAGGCGAAGACATGATGCATCCACTGAAGTGAGTCTTGTTTTTAAATGAGGTGCTTTTCCAAGTGGTGAGCACAGAGCTCAGTTGCTATAGAATGTTTCATTTATTTAAAAATTTTTACTGTGTTCTCATTAAGTGACTAAGTAAAATTGTTAATTGAATGTATTTTACTTCAGAGCTTACAGGATGGAGGAGGTGCTCTAGAAATGTAGGTCAGTTGGTAAAGTGCTTAACTCACACCCAAAATTCTGGATTTGATTCTGGGTGGTGTGCAATAAACCAGGTGTGGTCTTTACCTATAATTACAGCACGGGGGGGGGGGGGGGTGGAGGCAAGAGGATCAGGAGTTCCAAGTCATATGCTCAGCTGAGGATACGTGGAAGCCTATCACAACAAAACAGCCAAGATCTTAAAGAATAGTTGATGTTTACTGAGATTTGTTTTTTACATTGTTGAGGTTGATTGTAACTATAGGATTTAAAATTTCAAGTGTGAAGATTATATTCTTTGAAGTATTTAAATCCAAGCTTTAAAAAGAATGGTTGTTTGCTTAGATTATTTACATGGTAAAGTCCCTCATTACTTGATCCTCAACACTAACTCTAAGTTGGTTTCCATGGAGCCTACTGGCTGCCAGCCTGGCATTAACCTGCCAACGTACAAATAGTGTGGACCTTGATTGTGAACTAAGACTCCACGGGTCAGCTACAAACTGAAAATAGCCATTTCACTTTAGTTTGTTAAGGTTTTCATGAACAGTGGTTTTAGTAACAAATGCTAGAGACTGAATGGAGAGAGCGCATGCACGTGCTGTGTGGCATGCTTACAAGATCTCATGTAGTCCAGGCCGATTATGAGTTTGTTTCTGGTATCTGCTTCTACCTCCGAAGTGTTGGGATAACTGGGGTGTGTGATCATGCCTGATTCTCGGTTTATTTAAAATATTTCAGTTATGGTTTTTGTTATTATGGGGATCATGTGCTTCCTGTAGTTGCACTATAGTGCACACATGGAGGTCAGAGGACAAATTGAGTTGGTTCTTTTTTTCACTGTGTGGGTTTCAGGGATTGAACTCAGGGAGGCAGGCTTGGTGATAAGTGCCTTTATCCAGAGCTGTCTCACTAGTCTTGAGTTTTTGTTTGTTTAGATTTATCTATTTGATTTTGAAGTGTTTTGCTTGCCTATCTGTATGCCTGTGCACCACCACACAAGTGCCTGGTGCCCAGGGAGTTCAGAAGAGGGTGTCAGGTCCCCTAGAGCTAGAGTGACAGGTGGTTGTGAGCTGCCAGGTGGGTGCTAGAAATCGAAACGCAGGTCCTTGGTAAGAATAAGCTCTCCAGCCCCACTGTATCTGTCTTTTCTTATACAAGTGCTGGGGGATTGAACCCAGATACTAATGCCTGTGCTGTGTAGACACATTACGAATTGATTTGTCTTCAGAGCCCCCACTTTTTTTTCCTCTACTAACACCACCATACCTGCCTACTAACGTTCTTCTGGGTCCTTTGATTTCATTTCATGAAGATTAATCACTCATTTTTTATGTGCTGGACAGGGGCCTATAATATTGTTGCTGTGCATTTCTTTGTATACAGTTTTATCTCTCTTTGGCAGATTCCCAGCCAACCATCCATGGCTTTTTTTTTTTTTTTTTTTGGCTTTATTTCTTTTTTGAGGCAGAGTATCATACTGGCCAGGGCTGTTCTTGACTTCACAGGTACTATTCCTGAGTTAACATCCATGTTTTGAAGCTGATTTTAAAAAGCAAACAACAACTAAAAACCAAACAGTTAGTTTGCTTTATAGAGGAATTTAAGCCTCATGGAGAGTGCCAATGCTGTCAAATCATGACTTGTAGGATATTTTACACTTCTGGCATTTTGAGGGGCCCAACACCCAAATAAATCGCATGGAGGCTTATTATTACTTATGAATGCCTGGCCTTAGTGTGGCTTGTTTCTTGCCAGCTTCTCTTAAATTATGCCAACTACCTTTAGCTTGTGGGCTTTTACCTTTATTTCTGTATACCTTACTTCTTTCTCCATGGTTTGCTGTGTAGCTGGTTCGCTGGCCCCTGATGTCCTCCTCTCCTTTTTCTCTTGTTCCTGTTTCTCTATACTCTGCCTACTAGCCCTGTCTATCCTTGCTTCTGCCTCGCTCTTGGCCATTTGTCTCTTTATTAGGACCACCAGGTGTTTAGGCAAGGAATCACAGCTTTACACTTAATCAAATGCAGCCTAAACAAAAGTAACACGCCAGAAATTAATATTCCCCAATGCTTCCTTTTTTCTTTCTAAAAAAATGAAGTTTTAACTTCAACATAGTAAAACTGTACACAATAAGAACAATTATCAAATAAAGATTACATTCATAATGTACCAAATTTCAGTTCATTTGTTGTATAGTAAATTTAAAGAAAGTACTTCGTTATCTATCCTATCTTAATAAATCCAAAATTTTATTCATAACTTACTTGCTATCATATCTAAGAAAAACTACATCTATCACTATCTAGTCTTCAACTCCATCAAAGATACCAGAGGGATATAATAGTATTTAAATAAACAAAAAGTGCATTGCAAATGACTTCCAAAAACTGCAGAAGTAAAAGTGACATCTGGTTGCTTGGATAGTCAACCTAAAGTTCCTTTGCCACATAGGGTCATCCATTTCAGCCTGCAGGCCATACTATCTGGCAGACTTTTCAATAAAGCAGGAAATTTGAAAGACTGTCCTGCCATATTGTCAGTTTGTCAGTCACTTTTCTTTTGGACCTGCAGAATGCCTGGCAGTTTCTTGCTGTGAATCAGGAACCCTGAATGACCATCCTGCCTTGTTTTGGCAAAATTTGCAGGCAGTCACTTCCCTGTGGGTCCTGCATATCCAGTTTATACAACAGACAGTGAAGCAGTCTAGGCAAGAGCAATTTTTTGCCCAAAAGGCTAGCCTTGCCACATTAAAAGCAAAATCCATAAGGAGTTTCTTCGATGCCCATCATCTCTGAAATACATTGGTGCTGTTAGGAACAGATATCGCTCTTCATGAAAAGCCCTAAATTAACAGACATTTTAAATGCTGTATCTTGTAGGTCTTTGAAATATTTGAAGATCATCTATCTGAAATATATCTCTATGATATAGAAAACATACCTAACATATCTACAAATTTGATTGTTACAGATGATTAATTACTGACCTGTGTTTTTTGATTATCCTAAATCATAATAGTTTTCAAAAACTAGAATTTTACCTTACATTTTTAAATGAACTGCATAGGTACAATACCTTAAACAAGATCAGAAGCATATATACAGTGTTGTAACAAAAATAACCTTAAATTGGTATCAATACACAAAAATCTTTTAAACGAGTAAAAACATATGCACAGTGTAACAAGTTTGACTTTGAATTTATATCCATATACCAAAGTCATATACCATATACCAAGACAAAATATCTGAGAGTACTTGGTTTTTCTTTTTCTTTTTTTTCCTATATTCCCCTAAATTATAACAAATATCAATGACCCACAAAATAGCCAATAGCTTCCCACATCCCACTCTTGGAAATGTGATTGTTTTCTCTAGTCTGCTTCCTGTTGAATGTGGGTAAAGTATTTTTAGGGTCCCAGAGAGAAAATTTGGGATAATGGCCAAGTTTTGGAAAGAGCAGTTATAATCTTTGTTTACAAATATCACCTGTCAAGTTTCAGGAGGTCTCCCTTGATCAAATCAGATCCAAATCAACTTGGGATGAATCCACAGCCTCTTGTTTCCTTTAGAAACAAAAGCAAAACCTTCTCCAAAGCATTTTTGCTTTCCACTTGAGAAGTACATTTCTTGACTTTTTAAAAGGTTTTTTTTTTTTTTGACATTTTTAAAGTATCGAGGCTCATTTATTTCTACAGTCCCTCTCTCCCTCTTTCAATTCCAGGTCTCTTAGCAGCTGTCCTTTGCTTTTCAGCAATCAAAAAGTTCAAAATCAACACAGTACTCTACAGGATCCAGACTCCCTGTGTGTTTCCAATCTTTACGTGGCTCTTTTTCTTTTACATTATTTTAACTGTCTCTGTAAAGACTTTATTTTACTTTTTAAAAACTTTCTGTAAGTGTCTGTACCCATTTTCTTTATTTTTAATTCTACGTAAAATACACTGGAACCTGTTTTAGAGGTCTTTTCTTTTCCCTTCTGGACCTCTTTTACTGTATATCTTTTAGCCTTTTTTTGACCTCGAGCAAACTTTAGACTGTTGAACTACCTCTGTGTGCTCTAGTAGCTGGCTCCGCCCACTCTGGGTTGGGTTGTGAAAGCCCAGCTCAAAACTTGCAGCCAGGTTGGAGGTACATGACCAGAAACTGCATTCAGCCTTCCTAGAGCTCTAGAATGCTGATATGTGTGCTGTGGCAGGCATTTTTACTTTGTTTTTTGTTACTTACTTCTTTCCATACTGGCTGCTCTAGGACTTGTCAGCAGGCACAAACTCTTAAAGGAACCACTTTTTTTTTTTTTTTCCTTCAGCTTTCTTAGGCTCTAGATGGATTTTTCGAACCCTATGATGGAATGCCAAAATGTTGTAGGCTGTTTTACTCTTTTGGCTTTTTGAGGGACCCAACACCCAAATAAATCACACAGAGGCTTATTATTGCTTAAGAATGCCTGGCCTTAGCATGGCTTGCTTCTTGCCAGCTTTTCTTATCTTAAGTTATCCCAACTACCTTTTGCCTCTGAGCTTTTATCTTTATTTCTGTGTACCTTACTTTACTTTTTTCTCCATGGCTTGCTATGTAGCTGGTTGGCTGGCCCTTGATGTCCTTCTCTCTTTTTTCTCTTGTTCTTCTTTCTGTCTTTATCGTCTCTGTCTGCTAGCCCCGCCTATACTTACTTCTGCCTTGCTATTGGCCATACATCTCTTAATTAGGACCATTTAGACAGGCAAGAATCACAAATGCAGCATAAACAAAAGTAACACACCTGAAAATAATATTTCCCAACCGTTACTCTTTCTCCTTGTTTTGTAAGACTCAAGACGTAGATCAGTATATCATGGTGTGATGGTGTATTGTTGATAATTTTTCATTCATAAGTGGATTTTAACATGTTTATTGTGTGCACACAAACCAGGGAGAGGGTGTGAAGGTCAGAGGATGACTTGTGGGAGTTGGTTCTCTCCCACCTTGATTGAACTTAGGTCACCAGCAAGTGCTGAGCCATCTTGCCCTCTTGTAATTGTTTCTTTGTACTGTCTACAATATAGGAAAGTTTGAGCTTAAAGTAACACTTTTGTTACCAGCTGAGCATTGGTGGCCTGCTTGGGAAGGCAGAGGCAAGCAAATCTCTGAGTTCAAGGCCAACCTGGTCTACAAGAGTTAGTTCCAGGACAGCTAGTACTATTATTCAGAGAAACCCTGTCTCAAAAAAAAAAAAAAAAAGAAAAGAAAAAAGAAAGGTTGAACACCACAAAATGATGTGCCTTGGAGAAAGATTTTGAACTATTTGTTCCTTTACCTAAATTCAAGGGATTTAAAATTGTAAGGAAGGCTTAAGTCTGGTTATACAGAGATGAGCGGCAGAGCACCTGCTTAGCATATGTGAGGTCCTGGGTTCACCCTCAGGAGCATGGGAGAAAAAAGATATTTAGAACACAAGAATAGCCAGGTGTGATTGCTCACACCTTTAATCCCAGCACTAAGGACAAAGGGACAAGCGGATCTCTTGAGTTTGATACCAACCTGGTCTACACGGCCAGAGCCAGATCCAAACAAACCAATCAGCACACACAAGAGTATTATTGAACTATAATATAGATGGGTGGTATTGGTAAATAATTTTTAGAATGTCTTTTGCAATTTCATACACAAATGATTGTTCTATTACCTTTTCTTATACCTTCCCTCCCAGTTGAACAACTCTTTCTTCCCAACAAGCCCCTCCCACTTTCTTGTCTGCTCCTCTCTCGGTCCTTTGTATTTAATTATAGTTTCCTGCACGAACAGGGATGGTGGGTTATTTGAACAAGGGCAACTTACCATTGGCAACATTGTTGAGAATATAAGTCCCCTCCCTCAGCAACCAATAACTCCTTAGGGAGGGTGGGACTTTTGTTTTTTGAAGTTAGTTTGGAAATTGAATTGTGTTTTTTTAAGTTTTGTATGTACATATACACACGTGTCCATATTGTTTATTTGGTTTAACCTTGCTGGCCTAGAATTTGGTATGTAGAAAAGACTGGCTTTGGACTTTTGACAGTTTGCCTGTCTCAGTATTGACATTATAGGTATACACTGCCACACCTGACAAATACACTTTTCAAATTTATTTATTTACTTATTTGGTTTTTTTGGGACAGTTTGTAGCTTTTGGAGTCTGTCCTGGAACTAGCTCTGTAGACCAGGCTGGCCTTGAACTCCTAGAGCTCCACCTGTCTCTGCCTCAGTGCTGGGATTAAAGGCAAAGGCGTGTGCCGCCACCACCGCCCAGCAAATTGTTATATTTTTTAAGAAATTTTTTTTTTACCTTTTAAAAAAAAATTATTTAACTTTATTTTGTATGCATTGGTGTGAAGGTGTCTGATCCCTTGAAATTGGAGTTATAGACAGTTGTCAGTTTCCATGTGGTTGATTGGAATCGAACCTGGGTCCTTTTAAAGAGCAACCAGTGCTCTTAACCACTGAGCCATCTCTCTTTTTTCTTTTTCTTTTTTTTTTTTTTTTTTTTTTTTTTTTTTTTTTTTTTTTTTTTTTNTTTTTTGAGACAGGGTTTCTCTGTGGCTTTGGAGCCTGTCCTAAAACTAGCTCTTGTAGACCAGGCTGGTCTCGAACTCACAGAGATCCGCCTGCCTCTGCCTCCCAAGCGCTGGGATTAAAGGCGTGCGCCACCACCACCGGCACTGAGCCATCTCTCTAGCCCCATTTATTACTTTTTAAAAATGTGTTTGGATGTTTTGCCTGCATGTATGTCTGTGAGTGCCCATGGAGGCCAGAAGAGGGTGTTGAATCCTCTGGAATTATAGTGACAGACAGTTATTCACCATGTGGGTGCTTGGAACTGAACCCAGGTTCTCTGAAAGAATAGCAAGTAACTTGGTTGAATCTTCTCTCTAGCCTTCATGTATATTTTTAAAAACCCTTTTTGTTTCCTGTACCACTTTTTTGAGGTATGAATATATAAAATATTGTATACGTTTGAATTTACAGTCGACTGGTACTTTTTAATTTTGCTTTCTGCCTTTTTAGTTACTTTGAAGATACATTAAAAGATGTTCATGGCCGCCATGCCAGTGTTCATCATGAACACCAAAGTGCCCTTGCCTCCATGTCAGAGGGCCTCCTCTTCGCTCACCCAGCAGCTGGTACAGGCCACCAGCAAGCTGACCCAGTACATCACAGTGCTTTTGGCCACTCCTGTAGCAAGCTGCTATATGACCTAGTGGCCTGGTTGCATGTGCATCAGCTCAGACCAGATCTAAATCAGCTGTGTGACTTGAACTTGCCTAACCAGGTCTGCAGTGCTTCTGTCTTCACTTGAGTACTGGTCTGACTTATCTGGACTGCCATTCTTGGAGCCTTGCTGCATACAGTGTTCTGTGTTCATCTACCCATAGTGATGTCCACCTCCTAGCCAGCAGAAGTCAATTGTTTAGAGACCAAAATTAATAAACAAATAAAAGTTGTTCAGATAAACAGTATTTATTATGATTTGGCAGGATCTTTAGAAACTGAAAAAATTAAGTTTCTCTGTTGAAGCTATGTTCTTTCCCTCTCTGCAATAGTGAGTAGCTTTTTAAACATACACAATTAAGTGCCTCTTTTTAAGAAATTCTGTGTATGAGTATTTGTTTGCATACATGTCTGTGTACCACATGTATCTTAAGCCTGTGGAGGTAAGCAGAGAGTCAATTGTCCCAGAACCAGAGTTACAGACAGTTGCTGGGAATTGAATCCAGGTCCTCTGAAAGAGCAGCAGTGCTCTTAGCCACTGAGCCATTTCTTCAGCTATTTTAAGCTATAATATACATTTAATTGTAATATAACTATACATTGTAATCTAATACATATTAGAAACTGATACATATTAGATTACAAATCTAATCTAATACATATTAGATTACAAATGTAATGTAATTATCTATAGCTTGCCCCCTCCCCTCCAACAATAAAGCTCTAGCCTTGGTCAAGTTAGTTAACTTCTCCTTGCTTCAGTTATATCACATAAAACTGGATGATAATTACAATTAGTAGCTAGGGATGCAGCTTAATTGCTTTAGTGCGTGTCTGATACAGATGAGTCCCTGGGCTTCCTTTGTTCCATATAAAACTGGGCAAGATGGTATGTGACTGTAATCTAGCACTTGGGAAGTAGAGGCATGGATATCCATTAAGTTCAAGGTGATTTTTGGCTGCATTTTGAAGCCAGTATGAACCATAAAGTCCTGTCGTTATAGTGTTATTGATGACTTGGGTCATCAGTGCATAATTTGCAGCAAGTTGCTAGCTAGGTCAGCCCTGTAGGTTCAAGAATTTAATTTTTTTTTTTTCCTGATCGATGGTAGCACACATTTTTAATCCTAGTACTCAGGAGGCAGGGACAGGTCGACCTCTGAATTTCAGGCCAGCCTGGTCTACAGAGCAAGTTCCAGGGGCAGCTACACAGATAGTCCCTGCCTGTAAGTATGTGTATACCAGTGCCTGAGAAAACTGGAGATGAGTTACAGATGGTTCCAGTGTGCGGTTGAGAAACTTGCCTCTGAAGAGCAGTGTTAACACCACGTGTATTGTCCAAATTCATAAAGATTTTCTCGGATTCTATCTTAAAAAGTCAGAGTGAAATTTGGTCTGTAAACTCTATATCTTTTAAAATCTTTAAAAAATATTGGCAAAATTTGGTTGAACCATGTTCTTTTTTCTGCAGAGTTTCTTTAGAAGACTTGTATAATGGCAAGACAACCAAACTACAACTTAGCAAGAATGTGCTCTGTAGCGCATGCAGTGGGTAAGTGTGCTGTTGCTTACGCAGTCTGTCTGCTTTTTGAGTGGCATGCTCAAAATCTATACCAGGTAACATATTTTCTTCATTTAAAGCTTAATAGGCAGCCGGGCATTTTCTGTTTCCTCTAAAGACCCTTTAAAGTGGTTACACTGGGGGTGAGAAGCACAATTTGTTACGTTTGAATGACTAGTGGTTTGTAGACAAAAGTGTGATTTATACTTTTGCTTTAGCCAAGGTGGAAAGTCTGGAGCTGTTCAGAAATGCAGTGCTTGTCGGGGTCGAGGTGTGCGCATTATGATCAGACAGCTGGCTCCAGGAATGGTGCAGCAGATGCAGTCTGTGTGCTCTGATTGCAATGGAGAAGGTAAATGGACCCGTGTTTTCATTGCTTTTATAATAGAATATGTTGGGAACATAGAAGTTGGAAACGTTTACAATTTTACTAAGTATGCTTATATTCATTTTTTCTTTCTTTTTTCTTTTTTTTTAATATTTATTTATTATGTATACAATATTCTGCCTGTGTGTATGCCTGCTGGCCAGAAGAGGGCACCAGACCCCATTACAGAGGGTTGTGAGCCACCATGTGATTGCTGGGATTTGAACTCAGGATCTTTGGTAGAGCAGGCAATGCTCTTAACCTCTGAGCCATCTCTCCAGCCCCTATTCATTTTATTCTAAAAATGATATCTAACAGAAGATTGGCAATTATACCATTACTGTTTGAGCATAGTGTCTCTAACCTAGGCTGACCTTAAACTGTGTATTCAAAGATGATCTTGAATTCTTAATCTGCCTTTACCTCTGAAGTGCTGAGGTATTGTTCCAACCCAGCTGAAATGAATCTTTATCACCTAACTTGTAGAACTTCGGGGGCATTCTAAAAAGTTCTAAATCTATTTTTAATAGTTTGATTTTTAAATGAAGTTGCTTTAATAAGGAAAGGAGAGACGTGTCTAGTGTAACTTTAAAGAAATTAAGTTTTTAATTAGATTAATTTATGTGGTAAAATTTTTCCTTACCAGCATTGGAAAGTAAACCCAAGTCCATGAGGGTGCTTGGCAAGTGTTGAACATCAGCCCTCATTCTGACTAATTACATTACTATGCTTACCCAAGCCCTGGTATGGGGAATTAAACCTAGGATTCTTACCATTGAGCCACACTTCCAGCCTTTCCCTTGGCTAATTGTTAGTATAGTTGTAGAACTCTCTTTCCCAAATTCTTGGAGGTGATCATTTTCAAAAGGTATATATTGGGCTAAGGTAATAACTTAGTTGGTAAAGTGCCTGCCTCGCTAGCATGAGGACCTAGCCATGGTACGTGGCTAACCCATGTTAGAAAAGCAAGTAGTGCACCCTTAAGATCCCAGTGTTCAGGAGAGAAGTTGATCCCAAGTGCTCACCAGCTGGCCAGCCTAACCTGCTAACCTCTAGGTCAGTGAAAGATTCTGTCATAAAAAGTGGAGTGGAGGACAGCTGAGAAATGATACCTGAGGTTGTCACCCTCCTCGACTGCAAGTTATATTCCTCTGAGGTGTTTCTGCATTGTACCTTGCTAAAATTCCTAGCTTCACTATCAAGAAGCCAAAGTCAGCTGAAACCTAACAGCAAGAAGCAGAGCAGGACAGTGAGTTTCAGGTTTGTCAGTGCAACATAACAAGACTCCTTTTAAACACAAGTGTGCTAGTGCTCAGTGATTAGAAAACCTTGCCTTTTTCCCCATACATTGTTAAATACATCTGGAGTTCCAATTTCTTATACCATAAGCAAATATTAGAGGGGAATATCTTCAAAAGAAAAACAAGTTACCCTAACCTTGGTACAGAAGTGTTCAGTGCTCTAGTTGGTTTTGAGAATTTTCAGTTATAGTGAAACTACACAAAAGCAGGATTGGAGGTGGGAGGACAGTCCAGTGGTAGAACCTGTGCAAAGACCTGGGGCTAATCCCCAGCTAATAGCTGAGCAAGATTTAGTCTTTTGAAATACACTCGAGTACCAACTTTACAATTCAGTAATAAGTCATCAAGGATATGTGGGGATTGAATATAGACCAGTAGCAAACTTTTAGGTTCACTAACCCCTACTGGGAAGAACAATTAAAGTTTGACTTGGACTGTCTCTGTCTGCTGAAAACTTTTGCAGAAGTGTTTGTAGAAGTTCCAGCACCTGACTGCCCAAACTTTTCCTTGTTCATTAGTTTTAGGGAGTAGAGCCAGGAACTAACGAAATGTCAGGGTGTTTGACTCTGTAATCTTAGGTAGCTGAACCCTTTTGGGTGACCTTTAGTAAAATGTTTTGTCATTTGCAGTAACCATAACCATTGGTGCCCAAAATGTATCTTTTTGAATTAAGGGCACTGTCAAGACTCAGTTTAAGATTGGGGTATTCTTTCTTACTGGAAGCTTGAATGACCTCTCTTTGCAGGAGAAGTCATTAATGAAAAAGACCGCTGTAAAAAATGTGAAGGAAAGAAGGTGATTAAAGAAGTCAAGATTCTTGAAGTTCATGTAGACAAAGGCATGAAACATGGACAGAGAATTACATTCACTGGGGAAGCAGACCAGGCCCCAGGAGTGGAACCTGGAGATATTGTTCTTTTGCTACAGGAAAAAGAACATGAGGTAATTTACTTTTGATTTACTCATTTTTTTCCCCCGTTTTTGTTTTATTCAGAATTGCTCTTGCTTGTGAAAAATAGGATAAATACCTTGGAGTGAAACTGAAAACAAATGAAGTTGTTAAGGGAAATGTGACTGAGTTAATTTTTAGCTCACAGTAAGCGTGGCTTATTTAGAGAAACGCAGTCTATTAGTCTGTGCCCTGTCATAGCTGTGACTCAGCACTCTGCCCTTAAATGATCCTATTGTCTCTGCACCTCATTTTCCTTTATGTAAATAAAGCCATTGGACTAGGTAGTGTTAGGCAACATAATTTCACTATAGAGCTCCTTGGATGCATGGTGGGTAGGTAGAGGCTTCACTCCTCAGCACTTCTCCATTAATTTTACTGTACTTGCTATGTTTGCTGGGGTCAGGGTTTTTTTGGTTGTTTGTTTTTATCTGTTTTATTGGTGTGATGGGAGCATGGGTCTTCCTCATGTCCCAGTATGTGTAGAACAATTTTCTGGAGTCACTATCCCCCAGTGGGTTCTGTGGGTCAAACATGTTGTCAGTCTTTTGTGGCAAGCACTTTTATCTTCCGAGCTTTCTAACTGACCCAAGTTCTAGAGATTTAAAACATCCTTTAATTAGTTCCTGATTGAATGTGTATTGGTTATATCTATTATGATTGAGGCAAAATGAACCTGTCTAGCAGTAAGGGTCATTGTGTGCTATTTTGATTCTGATCATACTTCCTTCTCTGTCCTGTACCGCCATGCTTAGCTCTCCTGTAATTTGTAATACCTGGTGGCCCATTTCTATAATCCCAGAATTTAGGAGGCCAAGACAGGAGAGAGCAAGATTGAGGTCAACCAGGGCTATAGGGAGACTCTTCTCAAACAAAATTAATGCCCTACATAGTATCTTGTCTACTTCTGTCCTAAAGAATATGTCTGTGGCTCTTGGTTGATAAAGCTATTCAGGAAACACGCAGTACTTACATGTGAAGACTTGACAGGGTTTGTACTGGAGACTTATTTAAGAGTTCTCTAAACGATTGCACTTACGTTTTACTTATTTTAGACAGACTTGAATCACTTTGTTTTTCTTGTATACATAGCCTATGTGCAGGGCTGGAGAGATGGCTCAGTGGATAAGAGCACTGGCAGCTCTTCCAAAGGACCAGGGATCAAGTCCTAGCACCCACATGGCAGCTCACAACTGTCTGTAACTCCAGTTCCAAGTGATCTGACACCGTCACACAGACATACATGCAGATAAAACATGTAAAATTAAAAAACAAAAACAAATCCTCATTAAGCCAGGCACTGGTTGTGTACACCTTTAATTGCAGTCCTCGGGAGACAGAGGCATACTGATCTCTGAGTTCAAGGCCATCCTGGTCTACAGAGTAAGATCCAGGACAACCAGGACTGTTAACACAAAGAAACCCTGTCTTGAAAAACCAAAACAAAAACATGCTATCCTCAGCTGGTTCATGGAGACTAGTGTGGGTTCTTACAATATGGTTGGTGTATTCCTGATAGACCTGGAAAACATGGACTCCTTCCAGAGGTCAGAGTTAGGTAGCTGTAGGTCCTAAAGATGGCATCAGAGGTGTCCTTGGCAGTGTGGCCATGCAGCCTGTAGCTGCATCCGATCCAGCCGTCGGCAACAACCTCTTGTGCAGAGGAGCTGAGACAATGCCATGGCCTCCGGGGGCAAGGATGAGGTGCACCACACAGATCCACAGGGCCCATCACCTTGCATAGAATAGTGTAGGGATTTCTAATCTTGATCCCCCTGTAGCCTTGATTTTGGTCTGCTGGTCAAGTCTGCTTCTGCACTGGCATGACCTTTTGAAACCTCACCCTTGAGATGCTTGCTGGAGAGTGGGAAGATGACTCAGAGGATAAGAGCACTTGTTGCTGCTGTAGAGGAACCTGGTTCAGTTCCTGGCACCCACATAGCGGCTGAACCTTTTTTAATTCCCGTTTCCAGAGGATCAGATGGCCTCTCTTCAGATCCCTGCATACATGTGGTACACATACATACACAAACACATAGAAATAAGATTAATGTACTTAGGGCTCTCTAAAGGAACTATAGAGAATGTGTATGTATGTATAACAAAGATTTATTACAATAACTTAGTCCAGCTAGTCTAACACTAGGGGAATCCCAAAGAAGTAGGCTCAAATGCCAGTGAAGGAATGGGCTTGGCCAGCAAGAGCAAGAACAAGGAAGCAAGGAACAAGCTTCATTCTTTCATGTCCTTTATGTAGGCTGCTAGCAGAAGGTGTGGCCCAGACTAGAGGTGGGTCTTTCCATCTCAAAAGATCTGAATTAAAGGTTTATCTTCCCATCTCAAATGATTTAAAAAGGAAAACCTCATCTTTGTGCCCAGCCATTTGGGTTTTAGGCAGTCATGTTGACAACCAAGAGTAGTCATCACAATTAACATAGCATAAATAGAGACAATTGCTAGGTAAAGTTCAGTAATCTCAGATTTCTGCTGGGCAGAGAGGACAAGTAGATCCTTGATCTTCATGACTTTGACAGGCAGTCTAGCTTAGTTACAGGATCCACTCCTTGTCTTAGGCTTTGCCTCCAAGTGCTCAACAACCCCAGCACTGGATCCTCTGGTAGCCACTGTGACCTCCCAAGCCTTGGTCCATTCACCATTTGTTTTTTTCCCAAGGAAGAAGCTGCGATTTTAAAAGTAAAATCACGTTGAAATTTTAGTGGAGAACAAGGTTATATTGAAAAGCACATTGTAGAAGTTGATCTATCCTCAGAAGATTACAACTTGCTCCCTGGACTGATCTTATGAAGAGGGGTGTTACTGTTTTCTGTTTTTTGGGGTTTTGTTTTGTTTTGTTTTGTTTTTGACTTTTCTTTGATATGGCATATTTTAGATGGCTGTAAAATAACAGTTTCCAGAATTCTGCTTTAAGGTCATAAAAGATGAAATATTCATGACTACTTTTTGATAAAGTCTGGGTCTTAAATGAAGAAGGTATTAGAAAATGCTCTGTCTCGGGCTGGAGAGATGGCTCAGCGTTTAAGAGCACTGACTGCTCTTCCAGAGGACCTGGGTTCAATTCCCAGCACCCACATGGCAACTCGCAACTATCTGTAACTCCCAAGATCTGACACCCTTGCAAAGACACATGCAGGCAAAACACCAATGCACATAAATAAATTTTCTAAAAAGGACCACTATTTTTTTTGAAAGAAAGAAAGAAAATACTCTGTCTCTGAGCCACATCTCCAAGCTCTAAATTTTGTTATTCAAGATTCTTATTTGATGGCTTTTTAGCTACTTACTCATTTATTCAGTATTAGTATCCACAATACCTACAAGACATTAAGAAGTGGAAAGCTAACCAGATAGCAGTGAGCTACATCGTTAAAAGTAGATTAAACCTCGGTGTTTTGTGGAACAGATATCACTAGGATGTTAGAGTGTTGTAAATACCTTTAATCTCAATGCTTGGAATTAGAATTGTTGAAAGTGGTATGATTGCATGGAATTGATGGCCTAGGCTAGAAAGTAGTAAAGGGCAGAAGTTAAGAACAGTCAGTGTAAGCCAAGGGTGAGGTTTACTTTTGTTTTTTTTCGTGACAGGGTTTCTCTGTGGCTTTGGAGCCTGTCCTGGAACTAGGGCTATAGACCAGGCTGGTCTCGAACTCACAGAGATCCGCCTGCCTCTGCCTCCCGAGTGCTGGGATTAAAGGCGTGCGCCACTGTTGCCTGGCCCAAGAGTGAGGTTTAGACAGCTTAATTCATCTCACTTAAAAAAAAAAAAAAAAAAAAAAACACAAACCTACTATAGTTTAAACTAGAACATAGGAGTTGCTAAATGTTCAAGAAAAGCATTGGTTAAGTTTTGGGCCTTCTCTCTTTACTCCAAATAGCTGTCTGAAGAAGATGAGGCCACATTTAGGTTGAGTGGGTGCAGGGCTGAATCTATACATATGTGATTAAAAGTTTTGAGTGTTGTGTCCTGTGCATTCATCCTGCTGCGCTGCTCTTCTGTGAGTCTGGTGTCCTTTTGTACAGTGAGAGTGCAGGGTTTTAATTGTGTTCCTCAGTAACTGCTGAATGTTTTGCTATGTGGTGCTTGGTAGTCCTTCAGGGGAGAAGTTAGGCATTTATTTGTTTAAATGTTAGTGTTACATTATTGAGTCATTCATCTCCCCCCACCCACCCACCCCCCACCCCTCACCCCTCACCCCTCACCCCCCGCCCCTCAAATGACAGCAACCACCATGGTATTTTTTAGTTTTAGTTGCTTTGAATGCTTTTTGGTGGTGGGGATGAGGGTTTGGTTTGGTTTGGTTTTTCAAGACAGGGTTTCTCTGTGTAATGTATTGTTCTGGAACTTGCTCTGTAGGCCAGGCTGGCCTTGAGCTCATTAAGATCCACCTGCCTCCACCTCCCACGTGCTGGGATTTAAGGCATGCACCACCACTGCCCAGCCAGTTGAACACTTTGATACAAGTACAGTGTCAGGGCTGGAGAGATGGCTCGGAGGTTAAGAGCACTGACTGCTCTTCTCTTCTAGAGATTCTGAGTTCAATTCCCAGCACCTACATGGTGACTCACAGCCATCTATAATGAGATCTGGTGCCCTCTTCTGGCCTGCAGGCACACATGGAAGGAATAAATGAATCTTTAAAAAAAAAAAAAAAAGGAAAGATGTGCTACTGCTCCTAGCTCCAGCACACTCAAATCTTGGTGACCTTTTCACTACAGTTAATTTTATTTCAACTTAAATTTCAAAATTTAAGTATACATTTGGCGAGTTTAAATAAGAATTGCAAGTTGAATATTTTTAAATTGGTTTTTTTCCCCCACATCAAAGCTCAGGACATTCTCAGCACTTATTCAGTAACGTTTGCAGCGTTGGTGCAGAAATACAACTCAACTTCAAGGGAAGAAGAGACTATTCTGGAGCTAAATGAATGACCATAACCTGTAATATGGATTGTGGTTACAGCAAAACCCATGTTCTAACATCGGAGCAGTAATAGAACAGAGAAAACCATAAGTCAAGGTGCTATCCAAATGCATTGTGGAGAAAGTAGACAGTTACAGCAAAGTACACAACCTCAGCTAGGCCTTGGAGTCTTCTCTCATGACTCCTAGCCTTGGGTTGATAAAAACTACAGTTTTGTTGTTAATAAATTCCAAAAGGTTTTATCTGTAAAGTCAAAGGATGTTAGGTCTGACACAGCAGTGGGCAATTGGCTAATTTGGGGGACTTAGGTAGCCTAAGGTAAATTGTCATCATGCTTTGAACCTGCAGTGTTCTGGTGTATCTGAGTCACACCAGCATGTATAGTCTATAAGCGTATACTGTAAGATGGAATAAGCCAACTTTAGCATTTGCTGTATAATTTACATTAAGCAAGTTTGAATTTTTTAAAGGTTAGGGTTTGAATTTTGTTTGGTGTTGTATTCTGAGATCTGGTTTTTCTGTGTAACAGTGCTTCCTGAGTGCTGGGATTAAAGGTGTGCACCAGTCACTATATCTGTACTAGTTTTTTTTTTAATTATGCGTATACATGTTTTCTCTGCATGTATGAAAGTGTACTGTATGTGTGCCTGGGTGCTCAGTAAAGGTCCGAGAGGCCCTTGGATCCTCTGAAACTGGTATTATGGATAGTAGTGAGCCACCTTCTGGGTGCTGGGAGCCAAACCTCTGCAAGAGCAGCAAGTAGTCTTTACCACTGACGATCTCCATGCCCAAGTTTGAATTTTAAGTGCGATGGAACTCCATTGTATGTGTAAAGTGCAGAATCGAAGCCACAGCTTTCACAACTGGGCTTTACTGGTTGAGGTTTTTGAACACTGAACTTGGACTTCCTTCTTGCCTCATTGAGACCATGTCCGGGGGACATTCCAGGTTGACTCTGTTCTTTTGAAGCCTGTAGGATCTATTTGGTGTTAGGAAATGGAATACAATGGCAGCAGCAAAAGCACTATTAGGAGCTTCAGCATTTTTCTTAGTAGTCAGCTGTCCTAATAGAAGTTTCTGTCATACCCCTTGAGAATAGCTAGTTTTGCTAATAATAATTTTGGAAATTAGGGACAGTGGCATTTTGGTTCTTTCAAGATTCTGATACTGACTTAAGAAATGTGCAATAGGATGTTATGGGTTCCTAATCTTTTTTAAAAATATGTTTTGTTTGTGCTTTTTTATAGGTGTTCCAGAGAGATGGGAATGATCTGCATATGACGTATAAGATAGGACTTGTTGAAGCTTTATGTGGATTTCAGTTCACATTTAAGCATCTTGATGCTCGTCAGATTGTGGTCAAATATCCTCCTGGCAAAGTAATTGAGCCAGGTAAATGACTTCATCTGATCAGGTTGTTCGTGTATTGTTAACATTTTTATTTATAGTGGGTAAAAAAGAATATTTTTTAATACCTTTCGGGTAATATTCTTATCTAATTTAATTTTTTTAAATAATAGGATGTGTTCGCGTTGTTCGAGGTGAAGGAATGCCGCAGTATCGTAATCCCTTTGAAAAGGGTGATCTTTACATAAAGTTTGATGTGCAGTTTCCGGAAAACAACTGGATCAACCCAGACAAGCTTTCTGTAAGCTGTTTTTGCAGTTCCTCACACAGCTAATATGGATGTCCCTTCTGCTGCTTCTCGCTCTTCCTTGCTTCCTGTGTGCTGCTTTTCTCTTTCTCTTTGTTTTGTTTTATTGTAGGGTTTCTGTCTGCACCCTGGGCTGGCCTAGAACTCATGGCAGTTGCTCTGTTTCAGCCTTTTGATTGTTACAGATGTGAACCAACCATGCCCAGCTTTTTTGAGTAATGCTGGCTTTTTTTAATGTTTCCATGGTTGATGGGTTTGTTTTTTTGTTTTTTTGGTTTTTTTTTTCTGGTCATTCTGAAGATGAAGTGGCTGATAGAAATGTTTATGGGGCCAATTAGGCTGGTGAGAGTCTTTGAACTCTCTGGAGAGCAGATCCTTCAGATAGCATTCTGTTTAGAAGTACCATGGAACATTTCTGCAGTGTAGTTTTCTAGTGTTTAAATATGGATGTTTATTTTGTGTGAATGTCAGCTACATAATGAGACACATCTCCTGTTCTTTGTTTCCTGAAGGAATTAGAAGATCTACTGCCATCTAGACCAGAAGTTCCTAATGTAATTGGAGAGACAGAAGAAGTGGAGCTTCAGGAATTTGATAGTACTCGAGGCTCTGGAGGTGGTCAGAGGCGTGAAGCCTATAACGATAGCTCTGATGAAGAAAGCAGCAGCCACCATGGACCTGGAGTGCAGTGTGCCCATCAGTAAACTGCAGGCGGCTGCACAGGTGGATTTTCCTTCCACATTTTCCGGATAAGCCAGCTGCTGGAGTACCTGATGAGTCCAGATGAACTGACAGACATCTGTTGATCTATGTGTAACTTCTAAATTGGTATAGTATCCACAGAGTGTATAATTTAAACTAACCACGAAGCTTTACATCTTCATTTCGACTGTTCTGTAGCAGAGTAAAGCACTTGAAATAAGACTCCCTTTCACATGTGGGTTATAAGTTTCAGTCCTGGTATCTGCTTGATTTTTATCAGTTTTGTGTAGACTTTATGTTTCATATTTTAAACTCAAATCCAGCATTGTAAAGTTTGTACAATTTGTCCTGAAGCTTTGTGTTTGGCTGCACCTGCATAAGCTGCTACAAATAGAATAAAGAATTCATAGCCTGTATCTATCATTTAGATGCATGGAAAAATGGGCTTTGCACACGATGGGTTTGAAGCTGTCTGGGAACAGTAGAAAAAATTACATTAGCCATGGTTGTAAAGTTTTTTGGCTTTTTTTTAAAAAACCATTTTGTGAAAGGTTTCTGAAACTTGATAATAAAAAGCAGTTGGTGTAAATTATTCTGTGTCACATTTTTAGAAAGAGCCTATTTTGAACTGTAAACAAGTATCCTTACAGTGAGGAGGGACTCTGGTTCTGGTTTTAAACAGCCCTTAAAGATCCATTGGCCTGAAGCTTCAGGGCCTGCCCGTTTTATAGTTTGCAGACACTAAAGTTGATTGAAACAGGCTTTATTGATTTCAGTTGATACTCTGTAGCATCAAGAACATCCAAATCAATCATCTAACTCCCAGGTTACCCTGAAAATTGGGACAAGCCCAGGCCTCAGTTATCTTCTTGTACCCCACTTTTTGAAAATAAGGTAATGGCAGATGAATAGTAGAACCATGTTTACACAGACCTGGTAAAATGCAGATTTTGTTAAATATGAAAAATTGCTGTCTCGTTAAGTTGATATCTGAATTTAGGGAAGCATTGACTGATAATCTACATAGAAAACTAAGACTCTTAGGTCAGCAAACATTCACCAAGTGGCTGAGCCAGCGGTGAGAGGGTTCAGTTTGATCCATGTCCTGGTCAGCACCTAGTTTTCCATCCTAATGAAATGAAAGGATGGGTTTCCATCTTCTGGTGATTACTTTTTTTCTCCCTGAAGTGTTTTTTTTTTTTAAAAAACATGTTCATTTGAGGTCCAAGCAACACCAGCTACACACATTTTACATTTGTCAAAGGAACAACAGGACAAAAATGGAAATTCAGATTTTTCTTTTCAGTGTTATTATACCATCTCTGAGCCAATAGTGCTTGGGTACATTTCTAGAGATATTAGAACCTGGGTGAAAAGAATGTCCCCAAACTAATCAAGACCTGTGAGGGTTAAATTACTGCCCTATTCGCTCTACCTCCATTGTACAAAAACACTTTGCAACAAGCCTGGGCAAGGTTCAGCGGCATAACAGTTTTGTATTTGAGGTTATTTCCCCACACACTTTAAGCCTAAGCAATGCAGTGATAATATAAACTTTGTAGCCTTTCCAATAAAGGTTTATAAAACAGTTGCTCAGCAGTCTTCTGTTCTTTTGCTGGTGTGTGTGTGTGTGTGTGTGTGTGTGTGTGTGTGTGTGTGTGTGTGTTTGGTGCTGGGGACTGAACTCAGGCCCATGTATCCACCAAGCAGCTGCTTTCCCAGCTTAGCAACCTCCCAACTGCTCACCTTTTTTACTAGAACAGAATTTGCAAGCATGGAAACAATGACCTGGAAGTGCCTCTAACTTCATCATTTCATGGTTTTTATGCCATAAAGTTTTATCTTTAAGAAAATGCCCATTTCAGTGGTTTCCATATATCAAGACTTGTGTAGCAAAACAAAAAGCACACCGAGTCCTAATTAGTCCCATGTCGTTGTCTTCCAACCCTTTATGCAATTACTAATTGTTTCTAAATATTGTACTGAATTGTGTTTTTGAGTTTTATTCTTATCCAGCATATAGCTTTACTTTTTTTAAAAAGCAAGTAGTATTGAGTATGAGGATGCCATGCATTTTACTCACTTCCTGGTGGACATTTGGAGTATACTATCCAGACTGTAACTATGGAAGCATGAAAGTTTTGTGGTGGAGTGGAATTTGGTCAAGGTAACTAATGATCTGAGGAACTACCAAACCAGGGTGGCTGTTCCTTAATCCTACCAGCTGTGTAGGGAGAGTGTGCAGTGTGACCCACATCCCCACAGCCTTGGCAGCAGATAACTTTGGTTACAGTCATCCTACTGGCTATAAAGCTGTTTGAATTTTATTTCCCTGCTGACTAATAAATGTGCTTTAATTCCCATGTTACGTATCTGAAGTATTTTACCTACTGCCCCTTTCTGTGTTTCAGAATTCTGTATCCTCTGCATAGGCTCCTGTTGGCTCCGACTGGTATAGCTTTTTGAGGGCTCTAGACACTTTTGAGGAGTATTTGTTTTGAGTTTTGGGTTTTAATATTGTTTCCTTGCCTGCCCTTGAAGAATTCAGGGCAGTTCTGCCTTAGCCTCCCAAGAAAGATTGCACCACTGACCTGGGTTCAGTTTCTTACCCTTCATTTCAACAATTCTTCTTGAATTATGGGCCAGCACTTTCCTCTACTCCCTTAAATTGGATTGTTGTGTGTGCTGTAGGTCTGTGGATTGCGCCAGCTCAGGAGGGTGGGTCTTTTGCACAGCTGCTCCTGATGGAGGTGGGTCTTGTATCTTATCTGTTGATTTCATTGGTTAATAATAAAGAAACTGCCTCGGTCCTCATAGGACAGAAAATTAGGTAGGCGGAGTAAACAGAGGAGAATGCTGGGAAAAAGAAGCTGAGTGAGTGAGTCGCCATGATGCTCCCACTCCAGACAGACGCAGGTTGGGATCCTCTCTGGTAGGCCAGCTCATGGGCTACACAGAATATTAGAAATGGGTTAGAACAATATGTAAGAGCTAGCCAATAAGAAACTGGACCTAGCCGGGCCAGGCAGTGTTTGAAAGAGTACAGTTTCCGTGTAATTATTTCTGGGTATAGACTAGCCATGCGGGCGGCCGGGTGTCGGGGACACAGCCCTGCCGCTCCAATTTCAACATGCTCCCTGGCTGTGAAAAACCAGGAAACCCTCTCCACTCTCTTTGTCCTGCAGACTGGGCAGCTTGTGTCTCAACAAGTAAGAATTTTGTTGAAAACAATAAAAAAAAAGAGCAAAGAAAATCTAATAATACACAATAAGATATCAAATTCTTGGCGAGAAATACAAATTGGCGAGACCAAGCCAATTTGTGAAGGTAAGTATCACTTGTTAGAACCAAATGGGTCAATAATAAGTAGCCCTGGAACTGAGGAACAGTTGGATAAAATCTTGAGTCCTTGACCTGATTAACCTTGCACCGCTGTACCTTTGTGTGTTTTTCTCTATGTAAAGGGGCTCACCTTCTTGTCACGGTGTCCACAGCTCATTTGTGAAGTAGGAATCAGTGTATCCATAGGGATTTGTGATGAGACTGAAGCCCAGACAACCTTGGGTCCATAGTGGGTGGGACCACACCATGACTGAACTGCCTAGGTGTGCAATATCCTTGGCTCTCTATTTAATAAACTTGGATTTCACTTGAGGACCCTAAAGATGGACTTGAGGGTTTTGCTGAATCTTGCTTCTACTTAATAAACTTTGATTTCACTTGAGGATACTGAAGATGGACTTGGATTTGCTGAATCTCTTGTCCTGTGGGAGAGCCAAAGTTAAACTTTTTTAAGTTTTAATCACTATGCCTAGGAGATCCATGAAGCAAATATGCTTCTTTATCTAAGGACAGATACTTCCTTAAATGCTGGAGGCTATTGTTTATGGGGGATAAGAAGCTGCCTGTTTTCACTCCCCTAAACAAGTTGGTTTGGCCCCCATCTGCACTGATGTGGGCTTGATACACATGTAAGCAGGAAATATGTCAGAATATACACACTTTCCCTTGACTGACAGGCGGAGGTACCCTAGTAGCAGGAAGTACATCAGGCCGTCTGCTTGCCTCTGATTGGACCTCATGGGAAATGCAGTGAAGTAAGGGTTTGGCTTTTAGCCCCTGCAAAACGTGACTTGGTGCCATTTTCTGGAAAACCAGAGATGGACCTGGCCAGAGAGTTCATCGGTCTGGTCGGAATTTAAAGCTTGCTTTTTGACTTCAGACTGTGGTATTTGTCTTATTCTCAACCAGTGAAATTAACAGCCCCACTTCCCAATGTGGCCACGTTGAATAAATAGATCTTTTTCTGCTTTCCACTGTTAATTTGGTTCTTTTTATTGGTTTATTGAGAACGAGTAGCCAGACTCGGGGCACAAGTTGTAACCACCAAGTTCAGTAACAATGTCAAAATGCTGCTTCCTCACACTGACTAAGGGATTTTCCCATAACTCAACACTTGTTTTTTTTCTTGGCACATTTTAGGATGATATTTTGCAAGACTTAACCCTAGGCACCGCCATTGTTCACCAACTGGTTTTGTGACAGTAGCAAAAACAAGTTGATTTTCGACTTTGCAGTTAGCAGCTGAGTACTTCCTCTGGTGCAGGGCCTCTCGAATGAATGGCAGATGGGGACTGTCTGCCCATTTCATCCATGTCACCCAAACAGTGCCCCTCAGTGAACTTCCCATTGTGTGGTGAATCCAGATTGTCCACGTGATGGTATCTTAAGTAAATAAGAAGTATGTCTCGGGGTAGGCATGTCTGCGTGGGAAGGGATAAGGGAAGAAGCCCTTCCCCAGGGCAGGCAGCACCCTCTGGCAGCTGGCACAGAAGAAAACCAGTGTTGCTTGTCTACCCGCACTGGCTCTTGCTAAGTGGGTGTGCCTGGCCCATTGCTGACCTGGCTGCTGCATCCTTACGTGACCTCTGAACTCAGATGTGCAGGAATTAATCCTGCAGGCTTCCAATGCCAGACTGAGACTTCTGAAGTAACCATCTTTCTGGACCGAGGAGCTACTGTGTTGTTGGCCCTCATTGGCCTCCTCAATTCCTCTCATGCCAGCCAATCCACAATCATTTTCATGCTTTCAGTTCTTTTCCTAGAGAACGCTGGTGGATCCGCTCTTCGGCTTCTCCACTGTAGGGTTACTCTGTTGAACCACACCGTGAATACCAGCTGTGGCTCCAAGTTTCTAGACCCTGTGTGTGGCTTCCCGGCTTTCTCACTTGCCATCTTACAAGATGAGAAAGAGAACTAGGTCTTCTTTATTTTTTTTAAACCAGTGTTTTATTTTGTGTGTGTATGTTTCCGCTGCACATCTGCTGTGTTCTATGTGCCTGGTGTCTGTGCGGAGGCCAGAAGAGGGTGTCAGTTCCCCTGGATGGAGGTATATATAAATGGTTGTGAACCAGGCTGTAAAGTTTCTAGGGCTGGGCATGGAACTCAGTGGCAGAGGACTTGGCCTTGGATGAGTAAGGCACTGGATTGAGTCTGCAGAACCAAACACAATACTTCCTAGTGCACAGAATACTGGTACAAAGTAGAGTGTAAATAAATATTTACTGATGGAAGTGCTTCGTGCTCTTCTTAAACTAAATTTTAGATATGGGTGATCTGAAATAATAACCTGAAAACAGATTCTAGAAGAACAATACAGCCCTTCATTATAGGAGGATTGCAGACAGAACAAACCATGTTTCTTCTTTTTGTGTGTGTGTCCTGTGGCCAACTTGGAACTACAGAGGCAGCCCATGCTGGTTTTGAATTTAAGAAGATCCCTCTAAGCCGGGCAGTGGTGGCGCACGCCTTTAATCCCAGCACTTGGGAGGCAGGGGCAGGCGGATCTCTGTGAGTTCGAGACCAGCCTGGTCTACAAGAGCTAGTTCCAGGACAGGCTCCAAAACCACAGAGAAACCCTGTCTCGAGAAAAAAAAAAAAAAAAAAAAAAAAGAAGATCCCTCTGCCTTTGCTTTCCTAGTGCTGTGATTATGGATTCTAGGCTTGAAATTTTTTTTTCCAGCTGGGGTTTGGCTGATCCCCAATCCCTGGATTTAAGTGATTCCTCCACTTCATCACCTCATCCTGGGACTAATCTCTTGTGTCATCATGCCTGGCTCTCAAATCCCTTTAAAATGGACGTCATCCTGCAGTACTGGACACCAGCAATTTTTTTTATAAACTTTTTTTTAACCATCAAGGCTCTCATGCTGAAATACTTGACTTCTCAAACAAGTAGTGATTATTTGCTTCTGTACTTAAGTACAATTTTAAATATAGAAAACTGTGACGTAATTTATAATAGAATCAAACCCATAAAATGGGGATCTGTAACGATGTCTACCTCAGAGGATACACGAGAACACTGCAGAATTTGTGACCTGAACAAAGATTAAAGTAAGTCATGGAACGTCCAGAAACTAACAGCCAATACCACATTGCTGGTATTAAAAAAACATTTCGACTCTTATACTTTCTTTTTCATGGGTAGAATGAATCATGTAATAGCTGCACAGAGAGACACTGCTTTGTTGATTTTAAACTCTAAGACCTACAAAGACTCCCGCCGTGAAAGCAACATAAACAGATTCTAACATACCAGACCTCGTCTGTTGTCACATGTCTGAAGAAGCTGATGCCAACCCATTATGTGATACTCAATTAGTACAATAAATTGAGCCTGGGCAGTGCAGGGTGGGTACAGGATTCAGCCAAGTAGAATGCTGGGTAGGTAGCTGAGAAAAGATAGGTATTTATTCAGTCAGCCAGCCACTCAAAGCCCAGAACCAACCCTGTGCCAATCCCGATACCACCAGGAGTCGAGGTCCTCTGAGGGCCACTGAAAGATCAAGAGGGCATCTGATCATATGGAACTAGAATTATGGATGGTTGTGAGCTGCCATGTGGGTGCTGGTAACCAAACCTGGGTCCTCTGCAAGAGCACCAAGTCCTCTTAAGTGCTGAGCCACCTCTCCAGTTCCCTGTTATGGTTATGTGCTTCTTAAAGTTTTTGTATTTTACTTGTTTGCTTGGTTTTGTTTTTGAGACAGGGTTTCTCTGTAGAGCCCCGGCTATCCTGGAACTTGCTTTGTAGACCACACTGGCCTCAGATTTAGAGTTCCACCTGCCTCTGCCTCCCAAGTGCTGGGATTAAAGGTGTGCACCACTACTGCCCAGTTATTATTATTTTTGACACAGGGTTTTACTACCTAGCACTGACTGGCCTGGAACTCACTATGTAGACGAGGTTAGCTTCTAGTTCAGAGATTCGTCTGCCTCTGCCTCCTAAGCACTGAGATTAAAGAGTGTGCTTCCATGACTCCCTGCTCCCATGGGCCAGAGGCTGCCATATTTTCTGTCAGTGGGACCAAATGTCTGAAAAAGTTTTTCTTATCAAACCCCAGGCTACGCCCCCTCCCCGCCAGAGATACTTTATTTGTACACACACTGAGAGTGAAAAGGTAAATTCATGAGTGCACAATAGTGCTGTGGGCTAACAGGCTGGTGTGAACCATGTCTAACAGGCAACGCATATAGAATGACTTATACATACCAAGCTCAGCATTTAGTGTTTATACATGCTCTTTCATTGGAAACTGACAGCAACCTATAAAGTAAGGATTTTGATTTTGTTTATAAGCAAGGAAGCCACATCTCAGAGATTAAGAAATTTCCAAAAGGAGGCTGGAGAGATGGCTCAGTACTTGAGAGCCCTTGCTACTCTTGTAGAAGACCTGGGTTCAGTTCCCCGTACACACATGGTGGCTCGCTAACATCTGTACCTCCAGGTCCAGGAGATCTGATGTCTTCTTCTGGAGGCTGCAGGCACTGTGCACATTTGGTACACTTAATATACGCACAGGCAAACACACATGTAAAATATAAAATAAATAGATGTTTAAAAGGGAACAAGAAAGGTCACTTGATCAATGGTGAAGAAGAAATTCCAGTTCAAGTCTGAATTCCAAAGGCCCTGTATTTCAACATCATCCAAAGAGCCACACCAGCCTCCCCAGGAGAACAGCAACTCTCTACGCTTCCAAGATAAATCTTGAGGGCTGGAGAGATGGCTCAGTGGTTAAGAGCATTGCCTGCTCTTCCAAAGGTCCTGAGTTCAGTTCAATTCCCAGCAACCACATGGTGGCTCACAACCATCTGTAATGAGGTCTGGTGCCCTCTTCTGGCCTGCAGGATTACATACAGACAGAATATTGTACATATAATAAATAAATATTTTTTTTAAAAAAGATAAATCTTGACTGGGACTCTTATTGATCTCATGTGTGTTACATGTCATTCTGAGCTAATCACTGTGGTCAGTGTGCCAGGGGGCATTGATTAGCCAGGACTGGTCACATACTCAACTGGGAATCTTGAGGGAGAGCCATTTTCTCCTCGACAGTGGCACTGCCAACATGTCCACAGAGACGAGGCTTAGGGAGCACGCGCAAGGCTCCGGATTCAGTGCTCCCTACCAGGGCAAGCGGGGGCAGTCACCCAGAAAGACCTGGGCCGTGAAGGGGAAATACCAATCTTCCATAGTATAGAGTGTGTGTAGGGAGGGGCCGCCTGGTTAGCATTCCTGGGTGCCAGGTGGCGCTAAGAACCTGTCGGGAGTGCAAAGTGAGAATTACTCCATTAGAAACAAAGGGGTTAGCTCTGACATCCCTACCCATCAATCCACAGCCGATTACTAGAGAACGCGCTGCTCTATGACATGATGATGTCAGTGATGG